CGACCTGCATAAAGTAATTCCTTTATAGATGGACTCCCCCCTTCCCATGTATGTGTGTGATTTTAACTCCTTTCCACCCACACACTCACACTCTGGTCTCTGTGGAAGTGTTGCACTTCAGCCAACCTCATGCAGAGAAAACCATTTACTAACTCCATTACTTTGTAGAGGAAAACATTATCCAATGCAATTAAAACTAGAGGGTGGCAACAGTTTTTTCTCGCAGCTGGGTTCCAGTTGTGATCAAACCATCCAGTGGTCCTGTGACTGACACTTGCAGAGGTGTTTAGTGTGTTTGTGTCTGGTTGAAAGTCACTTCAGTGGTAACACACACACATACGCAATACTATTTGTAAAGTTTCTGCTCCACACTTTCTCATTCAATGTTTTACTTTCTACACATCAGCTTATGTTCTTTTCCAACTTTGATGTGTGACACTTTTAGGTCTCAAACATGGCGATAGCAGGGGAAAAACTGCACTTTGTATCCTAGAGACAATAATGCCTCCTGCTGTATGTGTTCACTTCCTTGTAGCTAGATGAGATTTGCCCCACACTCTTGCTTGTACTGGTTTAGCCCACCTTAGCTTGGTCAGAGGGGAATAGCAACATATGTTTCATCCAGACATGATGCTGTAAATCAAGGTTCCCACACTTATCCTGTCAGACTGACAGACTTTCCGTTGCCTCCAGGTTGCTTCTGTCACCCTTCGAGCATAGCGACACAGTTGGGAAATGTTTCCCTCAGTTTGACATTTATGCTCTCTCTCGTTTTTATAGCCTTGATTTTTCACCACCTGTTTAATTGGATCTCAGCTGAAAAGGCCTTTTGGTGTGGATGCCTGCCAAAGCAGAAGCCTCCTTCAGGAAGACCGTGTGTAGCGTATCTGTGATAACTGATGGAATTTCAGATCGACAAACCAACGTGATAATTGGATTTTCCGGCTCCACTTCTGTGCATTATACCTTTTGTTTCTGCGCCGCAGGAGTATGTGGCTCCCGCTTCAGCGGGAGATCCCGTAATCTTGGGGGGCAGGAAGTCTCTTGGCCACATCCTTGTTGCCAGGGTTGTTATTTAATCTTATGATCCAGGCTCCCTCGAACATATCAGTAGAGTAATCAGCTCTGGAGCACTTCAGGGAGGAAAAGCACTACATCCTTTTAACAGCAGGGAGTTCCAGACTAGAGTGGCGAGTCAGCAAGTCTTTCCGATACAACGCTAAATAGAAAACATGTTTGAGTTCTTCTCTTTGCATATTTAAATGTTAACAATAGTAGGCTAAAAGGCATTTCTCTTAAGCTAAATCAAAGAGGTGTATGTAAAGCATATATTATTGCAGATTAATTGTCCCTGATCTGTTTACAGTATACTGACACCACATACAGACAGATTTATGACAGAAAATGGCCTCTATCGATTCTCCGATAATGAGACTGATTGTGATGAGGGAGATAGGGACCTGAGCAGAGTGGGGGTAAAGTCACAATTCATTAACTATTCATGAATATGGAAAGACAACTTATGGTCAATTACAGAAGTGTCATTTATGTGAAGAAGTGAAGGACAAATCCAAAACTATGAATGAGAAAGCAGAAGACGGACACTGTGGGTGCAAAGATGTTCATTTTCTCATCAGTATTCACTGACACCTCCGTGCTCAAATATGCACATGTGCAAAAAAGCAGTCATACACACAGCGACACACACTGAGCACAATCTGTCATATAGAGACAGACGTATTGATCAGACACAGATAAACAGGGGACGGGCAGGCAGTGATAGGCCATTTGCAGCTCTTGAAATTGGATAGTAATCAATTAATGGTCTTTTATTATGGGGGATCATTTAATGGGGATGGATTGAAACGGCTTAACTTTAAATGCAGAGGAAAGACTCAAATCTCTAAAAGTTTCCTTCTCACTCAAAGTCATGTACTTTATTGTGCACTTTTAACCTTTGTTTCCTCTTAAAACTTCTACAGAGAACATTTTACATAAATAAGAGACCAAACTAAACACTGAACCACAGAATAGAGTTTCCATCAGGAGTTAAATGAGCAGGAACACCTTGTTAGTACCACATTGGACTCTCTTTTTACTTTAGAGCTGACTTAATTCTTTGTGGCATAGATTTACTAAGTTTCTGGAAAACCTCCTCAGAGTTTTAGGTCCATGTTGACATGGCAGTATCAAACAGTTGCCCAAGATTTGTCGGCTCTGTACATCCATGATGGGAATCTCTCGTTCCACCACATTCCAAAAATGTTCTATTGGGTTGGGAGCTGGTGACCCGAGAGGCTGTTTGAGTACTGTGAATCCAGTGTCATGTCCAAGAAACCAGTTTGACATGATTAGAGTTTTGTGACATTTCACATGATCCTGCTAGAAGGAACCATTAGAAGATGAGTACAGTGTGGTCATAAAGGGATGGACTTGTCTGTGACATTTTTAATTAATTAGTAATAAGGGTCCCAACAATCTACCGCCAGCAACCCTAACTGTTGATACAGGCAGGATGAATCAGTGCTATCATGTTGCTTATGTCAAATTCTGACCCTACTATCTGAGTGTTACAGCACAAATTCAGACTCATTAGACTAGGTAACTTTTTTTTCTCCAATCTTTTATTGTCCAGTTTTGGCGAGCTTGTGCAAACTGCAGCATCGGGTTCCTGTTCTCAACTGACAGGAAAGGAATCGGTGTGGTCTTCTGCTGCTTTAGCCCATCTCCTTCAAGGTTCAACACGTTGTTTGTTCAGAAATGCTCTTTTGCATGCTTTGGTTGTAGTGAGTGGTTATTTGAGTTGCTGTTCCCTCCTGATCAGCTCAAAGCAGTCTGGCCACATCAACGAGGCATTTTCAGCCAGAGAACTGCCACTCACTTTTTTTTCAACCCTAGAGATGATTGTGTGGGAGAATCCCAGTAGATGAGCAGTTTCTGAAATGCCAGCCAGTCTGGCACCAACAACCATATTTTATTCAAAGTCATTTAAATCAACTTTTTTCTCTGTTCTGATGCTCAGTTTGAAATTCTGCAAGTCTTGACCATGTGTACATGCTTAAACGCATTGAGTCGCAGCCAATTATATGTTTGCATTAATGAGCAGTTGAGGTTAATGACGCTTAATGAAGCGTGTGTGAGCACTGTTTTTACGAAGAAGGTTAATGCAATTGCACAAAACCTATCTAGGTGGTCAAAAGTTCTTATAATGAGATTTTACTGTGTTTGGTTGACTTTGTTGAAGCGTTAAGATCTTCATTTTGAGTGAAATATCAACAGCCTATTTCTTGTTCTTCATTTGATGTACATTTCCTCATATTTCCCTGGTATATTGTATTAGATATGTCTTTAAAGAGCAAAAGTAAAGTCATTGAACTTGCATGGACTACAGTCATCTGCTGCTTTGTTTCCGTGAAAGGGAAGTCATGAAACTTTGCTGAACCTTAATTCCCTCAGATCAAAGAGGAAACACTTTAAATAATGTGGGCATGCAACTGTCATTACTCAAGTAAACCCATTTGAAAGTGTTTATTTTCCTAATTGATTAAAAGCATTTTTACTACATTGCACTAATACACGGTTACTTTACAAATACTCATTAAAATAATCAGGAAAATGAAAAACAAATCCCCCCTCAGATGTCATCTACACTTCTGAATGGCCTTTTGTCATTGACATTTGGAGTTAATGCAAACTTGCAATCTGAAACAAATAAAGCACATATGCTCCATTACTTGTTTATTTTATGGGAAACCACATGAACGCTCTCTGTTTCCAGTAACACAGTAAAGGATGTGTTGGGTAAATGAACTGCAGGCGATTCATTTGCTGCTTTAAACATTGCTCATCATCCATTTGTCGTGCAAACAATTTGTTTCCGAAATCCAAATCCACCACAATGCTGGCTCAGGCAGTTTGTCAATGTTAAATGTAAACACATGAATAAATGCTGGACCTGTTGAACGCCATGTTTTCCCTCACTGTCTGTTGGCCAGATATTGCTGAAATAAGAGGAGTCCGCATCAGTCAAGGGTGTTTCATGCAGCTGTGACTCGATGGTTTTAAATCAAATCAGTAGAAGAAGAAAAACTTGCTTAATCGTCTCAGGAGAGCAGGTGCCATGAAAGATAAATCAGCAGATTAGATGTCACAGCGCTGGTTAAAGCTTAAGGTACATTTTGCATCATAATGCAAAATCTATCACCCCAACACGGTAACACCTAATTTAGCACAAGTCTTTCCACTGGTATATTCTACCCAGCCTCTCCTCATTACTGCCATGTGTTTAACACACTAGCTGAGCTCAGCAGCTCACCATCCCGGTCGCACTTCCTGCAGACTTTGGCCTGCTTGAGTCCTTGTTGGAACCTATTGGGGAGGTGATGGTGAGGGGGTGGGCATTTTGCTCTTGCAGGAAGAAGAGGGGGTGGAAATCTGTAGGAAATTGCTGTTAAGTGGTTCTCGAGGCTTTGTGGTTTTGACTCACTGGGCCCGTGGTGAGTGGATGGTCCTGTTCTGCAGACCTTGCAGTGAGACCCGGAGGGGCTGTCTGGGGCCCTCGAACATTAACAGAGTAGTGTCTGAAGCTTTGATCACACAGATTTTGAGATGCTTTAATAGCAACAGTGTGTGATGTTCTTACATTATCTCTTAGTGGTCTTTTTGCTGAATGTAGCATGGGATTAAAACAGCAAGTGGTGCTGGTTTTGAGTTATAAACATTGAAACTTTATTGTGGTAGCTCAGAAACCAGTGGTGTAGCCGGATCAAGAGTGTTTTGTTGAGTTAAATACATGTAACATAGCAGGTTCACACAACTTGGCTCGACATATAACGTAAGCAGAATATGGACATAATGTCTTCAAGTGGCCAAATTAAAAAAAAAAAAAAAAACTTTTAGAAATCAAAACAAGTGAAGTTAAGCTCCAGACCTGCTGGATGTACTGAAGTGAAATAGACTGTGTCAATATTTATCTGACAGTTTCTTCTTTTTTAATTTAGGAACCTGATGCCTCGGACACTCGACGGGCAGATCACTATGGAGAAGACACCCAGCTACTTTGTCACCAAAGAAGCTCCAAGTCGCATCTGCACTATGAATTGTCAAACCAAGCTTATTGTCGTCGTCAGGGACCCGGTGACGAGGGCTGTGTCTGACTACACCCAGACGCTGTCCAAGAACCCAGGGCTTCCATCCTTCCAGAGCCTCGCTTTGAAAAACTCCTCCACAGGTTTGATTGATACCACGTGGAGTGCTGTGCGCATCGGCCTCTATGCCAAGCACCTGGAGAACTGGCTCCAGTACTTCCCTTTGTCTCAGTTTCTGTTTGTTAGCGGCGAACGACTGGTGTCTGATCCAGCTGGGGAGATGGGCCGAGTTCAGGACTTCCTAGGTTTGAAAAGGGTTGTTTCAGACAAGCACTTCTACTTCAACCAGACAAAAGGTTTTCCCTGCTTGAAGAAGCCAGAGGGGAGCAGCAGACCCCGCTGCCTCGGAAAGTCTAAAGGCAGACCTCATCCCCAGATCCCCTCTGAGGTACTGCAGAGACTCAGAGATTTCTACAGGCCCTTCAACCACCGTTTCTACCAGATGAGTGGACAGGACTTTGGCTGGGACTAAGCAAGAGTCTTCTTTGTGGAGCGATGCTCATTTACTGTTTCCACAGGGCTAATGTTCTCAGGGTACTGGGAGAGACAAAGTCCATTCTGCCTCAGTGGAGTCAACACGACATGCAGCACTCATGAACTGTCACTGTTTTGTTGTATTTTGAGGCTCAGACGGACATAGTGCTGCTAATATGAAAACGACAAATTTAGTTAATGGCTTAAATATATAACCGTTAAACTGTTTTTGACATTCTTTATGTACAGATTAGAAGAAAAGGTGATATTTATAGTTTCTGTTGAATACAACAGGTATTTTTTTATTATTATTATTATTAAAGAAGTGTATTTATTGCGTGACAAAGCCGGACATAATACCAACATCTGACAGGACATTGGGAGTAATGTAATACTCTTTGCCTGCATTTACATATTTTCCAGTCTTTTGAATGCTACATACAGTTTGATGTTGCAGGACATTCCTCAGTGCATTGCAGTTGATATACCAATGATACCTCATTTGTAAATATTAAGTCGAAACCATGCGTAGACACATTCCATTTGTAAGTATTTTCCAATAAAAGCCGCATCATATTTTTTTTGTAATTCCTGGATGGGATCAATTGTATCAGCTGTTACTCACAATAAATTGCTACTTTTGATCTGTGATTATTCTGAACCACTGTAACTGTAAAAAAAAAAAAGTGTTCAAATTACAGTGTACAAAAAATGTGCCTCTGATTCTCTGTGTTGTGAAGTAAACTTTTATCTGATGTGACAAACGAATTTGTTTTCATTTCATGTGTTAGCGTTAAGGTCAGTTTTTGTATGGTTACATCAGGCTGCAAAATTGTCACCAGAGGTTGAAGACTGTACTGTACTGCCCATTCTCTATGTAATACAGTTTACACAGCTGGATCGTTTCATATCAAGGAAACAAAGTCCTGTGAAAACAAAGGAATGTGTAAGTACCATCCGTGAAAGTTCTTAGACTGTTTAAACGTTTTAAAAATATGGTTTCTTAGAGAAAAAGTGTCTCTGTGGCTCAGTTTGCATCAGCTTAAGGGATAAGTGGACCATCTGGGGGTAAGCTGACCATTTAAATGAATGAGTAAACCAATCAAATGAAGTTTAAATTTCAATATCTTTTGATTGCATTTAAAGAATAGAATAGAATAGAATAGAATATATCTCTATTGTCACTACCATACATATGTTGTACAGTGCAACAAAATCTGATTTTCAGCTGTATAGGTGTTCAAAGAAAGATTATATTAATTAATGTTAATGAAAAATGCAGGACACGAGAACCCCCCCCCCCCCCCCCCCAAAAAAAAAACTAACAAGTTAAACAGAGACATTATTGAGCAAAATTAAATAAAAACATAAATTAAAATGATTAAATAAATTGAATACTGTTACCAAAACTATCGGAGATTGAAACAAAGTAATGCCACTCAAATGAATAAAAAGAAAAAAAAAGTTACCACCAGAATTTAACTGCCCTAAAATGGAGATATGTAGCATCAATATATGTTTATAATTAGGTGCAAAGTATATTCTGGTTGTCATCAGCGATGGGTTCTCTAGCAGTTCAGATTTAATTTAACTTCAGTGGCTTTTGAAGGGCTGAGTGGCTCAACTTAGCCCACACATTTGACTCACTTTGACCCAAAGGTGCCATTTTGGAGAAAACTAGTTAGCTCATTAATTCAGGCTAATATTTAGCTAAATTATTTGCACACATCATAAATACAAAGACAGCAGCATGATATGCTTTTCTTTTTTTTTTTTTACATTTCTTTGACAAGCCAAATATGATATATAGCACTAAGATGCCAAAGGCAGTTTTTAAAGTAAATTGGTGTTGTGCACTCGTCTCAGGTGCATCACAGTCTGGCAGAAATGAGTTTCAAAACTAACAGTCACATATCAATAAAAGTGCCTCTCTGACTTCTTGGGCTGTAATCTGCCAACCATCCATCTCACGAACGATGTCACAAGGCGAAAGATACGTTCAGTTTTTGGCAAAATCATTTTTATATATGCTTTATTTATCCAGATAAAAGTGTTTTTGATATTAAAATGCCATTTTCAAGAGGGCAGCAGAAATGCCATCACAGTTGTGAGTACAAGCTTGTGTCCACCTGCAGCTGGGCTTGTGACTCCTCCCAGTCTTGAATATGGGATTTTCAGCAAATTAGGTGAAAGTGAATGTGTCTGAAACACGATTCAGTTCCACTTTTTTTTTTATCAGTAATTTATTTCAAATATATGTTCTTTTGCCTCCGTTAATAACATGCTTCCCATAGAAAAGAAAAGTTAACCAAAAGATAACTTCTTGCTGTCTGCCTACCACTTTTTCCCTATTGACTATAATTCTGATTGATAAAAGTTGTTTATTCAACTTTTGACAAAGTATTGTGCCGTTATCCTGGCACTAAGATGCTTTTATTCTTTCCTCCCTCTCTTTCTCTCTCACTTTGCCCTTGTTCACCCCTCCTCCCATCACTAAACTCACTCTCTCTGCCCTCTAGTCCCCAGTCTCTCGCGCTGCTTGTCCTTACCACTTCCATGCAGTGCGACCACATTACAGTCTGAGGTCTCCATGTGTTGTGGCCTTTAATTATGAAATATGTCAGATCACACAGAAAAAAAACCCTCCTTTCACTCGGGGCTTACAATTAACAGCAGAGATCTTCTCTTCCATGGTGTATATTCCTGTGTGGAAGAAATTAAAAGGTTCCTGTGAAGCAACTAACAAAAGAGCTTGTGAAGTGAAATATACACATAGTGGCGTCATGCGTTTTTTAAAAACTAATTTACTGAAATATGTCTAACTGTTAAAATAACTGTTAAAACAGAATTTTAATTAAGAGTGAGCTTTGTTTGTGGAAACGTCAGTGGCTTGTGAATGAAATGGCCGGCTGCTTGCATGAGCATGCTGATGTGTGTATATGTGCAAGTTTAACATCACAACACGCACACTCCTTACGTCTTCTCTCCTTTAGCTCCAGTCAGTATTTCTCTCACATTCCCCTTCTGTTTTATTTGTCTGGCATTAACGTTTAGTGGGTCTCACTAAAATTTTTAACATACTTGGCTCACTTCATTTGTGCCAACTTTTATTACTCTGCATTACCAGGCACGCTGATAGGGCACTGCCATTTTGCCGTGCCAGCCCAGCAGCAGGCATTAAAAGATAACTGATATCCCATTCTGCCATCTGGGAAAGATGTTTGTATCAATCTTCACAGGACTAGCCCAGTCATTAAGGGTGATTAAATCAGCAAGACATTCTGCATAATCTACAGCTGTCACTAAACATTGGTAATGATGTGAGAAATCTAATTGAGGTGAATGAAGAATTGGCAAGTGATTGAGAGCCAGGAACAAAATGATCTACTGCGCATTTACAAAAGTAGAACTTCATCCAACTTTTTAATAGAAGCAAATAAGTCTTAAAGTGTTGTCTCTGAATATGACCTCACGAGAAGCCGCCCTCTCCTTGCGGCTGCCGCAGCAGTCTGTCGACACCACCAGCATTTTGTCATATTTTATGACCGCCATCAATCCAGCAATTCACAAAAGTCTTGGTTTCATTTAAAGTGTCAGACTTCACCAGACATTTAAAGAACAATCAAAATGTATATGGATGTATTTTACAATTCCAAACCAGTTTGTTCTCAGAAAACAAATTTTCTCTGTGTTCACTAAAATATGAAATATCAAAGCGTGAATTTGCAGTTCGTTGGTTTTTAACCAGTCGTGATCCACAATGCAACTTTAAATTGCCCAGGTCTGTGTAGGCCTGTAAAAAACTAAGTAAACCCATAGGAATTAATAATCCAAGTAGCAGCCAGGTGCTTCTAATTAAATTAACTGATCATCAGCAACCACCTGTGAAAATGAGAGGGTTTGGAAGTTTGCTGGCACATTCCGCTGTGTGAACGCAATGCCATCACAGTAAGAGTCCCAGCAAACTCACCTCAAGGTCAGACCGTGCCATTCTCAGAGAAACCGCAGAAAAGCCAGCTCATACTAACTGTTAAAACACGGTGGAGGAGGGGTCATGTTTTGGACCCCCTGCTACAGGACCTGAGCGCTCTGCAGTCAGTGAGTCAACCATCAACTTCTCTGTATACCAAAGTACTCTAGAGTCAAATATGAGGCCATCTGTCTGACAACAATTGCTTGGCTTAAATTGTCTCATGCAACAGGACAATGATCCGAAGCACAGCGGCAAACAGCTGCTGAAAAAAGCCAGGTCAAAGTCTAGACCTCAAACTGTTTAAATTGCTGTGCCTTTCACATACAACAGAACAACAGCAGCGCTGTGCTAGGAAAACAGTTCTTTTCTATGGCTTGTGTTGAAGCAATAAAGGATTCCTGCTGCATCAAGCAAACTGCAGCACAAGAGTTTGGGCTTTGAAGACCTGCACATTTTGCAGTCAGGCAACACAAATTTCAGGCCGTTTGTTCAACATAGTAGTCAGTCACATCCAGATGAACAGAATGAAACTTTTAAAATAAAATTAAAACAATACTGTAAATAAATAAATTAAAAAACTGCAGTAATAAATGGTAATAAACCATTGTTACTCTGCAGTATAATCTAACCTCTTCTACACCTGCTCTTAAATGACAGATAACATAATGTGCTTTTTAAAAGTCAGAAAAGTGCTGTCAGGAGTGTCGTGTGTGGATGAGAGGACGGGAGGAAGGGACCCAAACGCTGGACTCACGGTGGAGGATAGTGGTATTTATTGAAACGGCTGGCTGAACTGAAGTGACTGAACAGAACTGAACACACGGGAACGGCAGTGACAACATCAATGACACCACGGTGAACAGAAGGAAACTGAAGACTTAAATACTCTGACTGATGATGACGATTGGAGACCGGTGAGTACACAGCTGAACATAATCTGACTAATGACACATGCAGTGGAACTAGAACATAATGCACAGAGACAGAAGGTTGGCACAGTGAAACACGAGCATGTAGGAAACTGAACACGAACAAACTGAAATCGCTGGGTCAACGACCCAGGAACCCTGACAAGTGCTAACGTATACACAACATTTCCTCTAAGATTGCTTGAAATATAGATAATCTATAATACCATAACTGGTCAAAACAACTAAAATGCAAAAGATACATTTATAAATTGCACGTTTGTAATCCTCCCCTTGTCATGGGAACAGTAATTTGTTTAGCTTTCACCAGCATGCAGCTTCCAGTGATTTCAGTCTGCAGT